CACGGACTGCCCCAGTCCCTGCTTCAAAAAAACCCAGTCTCACCTGCAGCAGAGCAGTTTAATCCAGGAGGAGCTCAGTTTACCTCTGCTGAAAAACATCCACCCAGATCAGCCCAGAAAGCGCAGCCAGGGACTCTCCGGGGCAGGAGTGGGGTATGTTCCCCAGGTCTGCCCTCGGCAGCAAACACGCAGCCTGCTCAGTCCCGGTCAGTGCTGCAGCAGCCTCTGCTTGCAGCGCTGCGTGCTCCCAGGCTGCACGCACAGCGGCACTGTGAAACCTCTTTCCAGGAGACTCATCACTGCCAGCCCTAACGGGACACTCTCACCAGGCACTGACATTGCCACCACCTCCCTTGCATCTGCGACAGGCAGCAGCGCTGATGTCCCTGCCGCAAAGGTGTCCTTTTTTGATAGCATCTGGGAGGGGGGTTGAACCCCACCAGCCCACAACTGCTGGGGCATCAGCCTCCGAGAGAGTTTAGGCTCCCTTTTTGCACAGCAGCCCCATCTGACTGGCCTGTCAGACTTGTAAGGGCTCTCATCAGCTGGTTGGGGACACTGAGCCCAAAAAGTGCTCCAGGAAACAGCATCAGAGGTGACTTTTCAAGCAGCACGAGCCTGGCAGGAAGAGGGTTAACCCCATCATGGGTTTAACCCCATCACGCTGCCGCTGCCGTGCTTGGTGGGATGCAGGGCTTTGTACCAGCCTCTCCTGCCAAGGAGCCAGCCACCATGGAGCAGCATGCAATGTGGTCCTGCTCTTTACAAGGTGGTCCTGAGCAGCACAGCATGGTCCCAAGCCGTACAACGAGGTCTTGAGCCATGCAACGTGACCCTGAGCAATGCGACATGGTCCTGAGCCAAGCAATACAGCCCTGAGTGGAGCAGAACCCAGAGCCACTGGCAGAGATCAAGCTGGCGTGAGCTTGGTCAAGCAGAGCAGGGTGCTGGGCCAGCGCCGCAGGAAGGCAGGCAGCTGCTCTCAGCACCCAGCGAGCACGGGGCAAGCAGCACGTCTCATGCACAATCTTTGCAATGGCACTTTGCTTCCTGCAAAAGTACAGCCAAGGCAAGCTCTGCTCTGGGGGGCACGGGGAGCAACCCAGACCATCTGGCTTGTGACCACAGGCCAGCCCCATGCAGAGCTCCTGCTGCAGGGCCCTCTGCTGCTCCTCCTTTCTCCGTGTCAAGAGTCAGAAATTGCTGTGGACCTCAAGCTTTTTCTGAGATGGGCCCTCCATAACGGTCAAAGCCCTGCAAGAGGCTGGCCAGGGTTGAAAGCCACACTGCTCCTGGCATCCCCAAGCACACCAGGGACTCTTTGTCACCGGAGGCTCTCTGGAGCCTGGCTTTTTCCTGTCCCCACCGCTGTGAGCAGCTCTTTGGAAGTGCAGACAGCCGGGTGCACCTCTCCCTCCATCGGTCTCAGCAGACAGTGGCTCTTCAGGACATGGCACCCTGCAGAGTCTGGACACACTGGTGGGAGATGCCCACCCACAGCATCAGCACACTGGCTCTGAGTGACATCCCCTGGGTGCTAAGCATCTCCCAGAGCTGACTGCCAGTGACACGGACCTCCCTGGCCCCTCAGATCCCAGCTTTGGTGTGGCCATGGAGACAAGGGCCACATGCCAGGACACCTCCACGCCAGGAGCTCCCCCATCATCACAGCCAAGCAGGAGACGGCCGCCCTGCCGAGCCAGCACCCGCTCACGTACCTTACTGTGGCCCGAGAACAGCAGGGGGGCG